TAGATAGTGCTTTTCCTTTGTTGGATCGATTGTAACTCCTGATTGTAGCAACCCTAAAACGAATGGCACTTCAGAAATACAGTAGGCCTATACCAATTATTCTCTCAAACTTTATATCCTATCGTGTTGTTTGTGTTTAAAGTTAACTTTATTTATTTATTTTTTATTTAATTTATTTTTTTTAAGCGTACAGGTTTGGAATATTTTAAATTGAATGGTTCAAAACATTAAGCAAGCACTAATTTTTAACTTAAATAATTTTTTGTTTTAATTTTTATGTGACTTTGGAAGGCAAATGGACTGAATAAAGAAAAAAATCTACTTGTAAACATAATTTCATTTCATAGTTTCAGAGTCACTGCCGCTTACTAAGTCAAATACCTGTACATGCATGCTTATATGAAAAAACAAATAACAGATTTATAAAGCAGTGATTCAATATTTGGTATTTAGTGATGGAAAGTGGCAAGACAAATAAGGCAAGATAAGGATTGCATTTGTAAATTTACCATTTCTTATTTACTGCTTTTAGATATTTATTAAGTGTTTGTAAACCTTCAATTTAAAGGGCCATGCTTTATAGTAGTTCAGCTTCTTATGATGTCATTTGTTATCTTCAGTTAATAAGCTTTTCGTATATCTTTAATTAACAATTAAAATAAACTTGGATTGAATGGAAGGGATTAGGTAATGAATTGGTTCATCTGTTATTAATAATAAAGAATTGTTATCTATTATTAAACATTTTGTATTCTGTTTTCCCTAATACTAAAAATTGGGTTACAGTAATTGGTATAATTTAAATTTTTACTGATTCTTCTCCTCTTCAGATGGTGATCTACTATTTTGGACAGTATCCAACTGTTCGGCTCCCCAAGTCTTTTAATAACCAGAATAAATGCACACCACACATACAGTGTAATTCAACTAGCCCCTAGCATAAGCCCCCTCCAGGGCAGCTGTTTCAGAAATGTCTTACAAAGTCACGTTTGGCTGAATCTCCAGGGTTTGAAGCCATGTGCAAGCTATCACTACTCCTTCACACAGCTACAATCAACTGCTTGAGAATGTTGAGTATTATAATTTGAGGAGGATAAGATTTTGTAAACATTATTGCATTTGATAATTCCCATCTCAAATTAGGTATTTTCATAGACCCACTGAAGATGTCGGTATTGTATTGAACTAATTAGTAAATGACCAATGCAGTCTGTGTAATGTTTCCTTTCTATCAATCATAGAGTTACCAAAGGAATAAAATAGTGCTAGATCCAATGCATTATATCAAAGCTTACAGTACCTTCAAATCTCATTGAAACAAAAAACATTGTGAAAAAATGTTGAGTTACATACCGTGCAATAACGCTGTGGTGCAGCCTACTGTGGCATATATGCATCAAAGTACATATGCATGTTACTCAAATTTTATTCCATGCTTGTGATATGGACACTAACATACAAATTTCATAGTACAGTAGGCTAACACTGTACTGTATGAACAAATGATTGCTTTTATCCATAGAATTCCGGTATAGAAAACAAGCCTACTGTATATTTTTAGTTAAGCTATTGTTTTTATTAAAAACAAATATTATTATTAGGCCAAAAAAAAAATTTGAGAAATACCACTTTTGAAAACATTTAGAACATAAAATCTAAAACAGACATGTATTTTTACCAATCGGGCCATAGATGCACATGTAAAATCGGTAAAATAGACTGCGTAATTTTTGAGAACTGAGCGCGACGAAAATGTATGCACGCAACATCGGATCTCTCGCGCTGAGCTGTCAAGCCACAACCAGATGTAGGCCTAGGCTTAACCTATTCTTTACTACAGTACAACTAGTGGTTGCTTAAATCAAAATAGTACATATTACCTTACAGTATATTGGAAAATAAAATAAAAACAGACTTAGGTCTAGCCATTGCTTTTTTAGGCTCCATTACGGTTTTAGGCCAACCATGAACAAAATAGTTATTTTCTTTTCTTTTCTTGAAGTTTACTTCCGATTGTATTACATAGAGGGCGCTTGTTTGGACAATTTTTATACCCATAATATGGTTGCTCGACGACCTGTTCTACGACATGCCCGTGCATGAACGTGTGGATCGGATGATTATTTTACGTTTCGAAGCCAAATAAATCTTTCTTCAAACTGATTTACTTATGTTAAATTTACTTCAAATTTAAACTTGGTTTAAAGTATTCATTCGATCATACTTTGAATGTTTTTTGTTTGAAAAGCTTGCCATCATTCTATTGTGGTGCCTAGGAGGCCTTTAATATACCTAGGGTCTTCATAATATGGACTGCAGTTTGAGGCCTATCCTACTTCAGGCTGATACAGTATTACCGACGATCTCGATTTTTTCCATTTAAAGACAACACAACTATTTTTTTTTGGCCTAACAGCAATCAATTACAAGTACAGTAGTAGTAATTTTACAATAATAATATTGATAACATCTAATATTTATAAGTTACAGTAATAACTGCAATAATAATAGAAAGAATACACTACAAAAATATTAATAAAAACAATTAACAATAACAATATAACAATAATATTTTTTGAAATACTCAAGTCATTCAAATTTCCTTCATTTAGGGTTATGATTCATCTACCTCTGCCAATATATAATTAAAACATTTAAATATTCATATTCTCTATCTGTACATAATTATTAAGTTTCAAATTGCTTTTGACTTGAAAATGGTTGCAATCCATCAAATGACTGCAAACGTGATGATTTCCATGAATAAATCAATATTAACTATATTTTTCTTTATTTTGTGAATGTTTGCCAAGAAACTTAAATAATGATCAACAGGATATTAGCGGTCATGTGATACGACAGGAAGGAAATGGGCCAACTCCAAAAAAATTTAATCTAATTAACAATGACAACCAATCAGTTATCAAACAAAAATAGACTTGGGCACATGTTAAACTGCAGTCACCCATAAAAACGTAAATATCCGAGGATCTCCATCCTGTTTACGTCCGCATGTGTATGGAAACTGGTCAATGGAACGCTATTTATCAACTTCATTTCATTTCATTCAGGGTTTATTCCAAAATGTATTACAGTTAAAAGCTGAATTACAACAAATTATTACAATTTATATAAAAATTACAAATAAAAATATTATGCAGTATATATTGAAAATATTTATGAACAACAACTCAACAAGATCAAGAAATTAATAAATGCAAATATAGTTGAAATTGACACCACAATATATTAAAAATTGAATTTATAGATATAAAAATTTAAAATATATTATTTTTCAATTTTTAAATTGATTTTTCCATAATTTATGACAGATTGCACATTTTTAAAACATGTTCCCTGAAAGCTTATTACATCTGAATTCTAATGACCATACGAGTTAAATTAAATAGAATATAAATATATATAAAAATGCATTATTATTGTTTTTGTGATTGTAAAGTTCAGTAAATTGCCTGTAAGTGAAAATTAGTTATGAGGCTAAGTTTTTCTCAGAAAATACTAATATTTTAGAGCCACTTCCTATAACCCAATTTACTGTATAAATAATATGAAATAAAATGTTGAATCAATCAATCAAGCAAGTATTAAGAATAATATGTAGCATTGAACTCTACAGCAAGCAAATTACTAATGGAGAACCAATATACATTAAAAACAAGAACTTTATTGTTCAAAGAAATCTAGTGAATACTGTAGTAAAATGTTCATTAATAACATTCCAACCTGTATAATTAGTCAATTATCGCTGATGGTGAAATTTAATTAAAAAACAAATGTATTTATTAAAAAGTGGCTTTCCTTTTTCTTAAAAGAAATTTATTGAATTAAAATTTTTTTAAATTTATTAATATTTACAATTTAGACAGAGAATAACATAATAATTTTTAAAAACCCATTAAAGATGGCGCCGCCCTCGCTCAGGCTCACTATAATAGTTCTCCGAAGAAAGCAAATTTTCAGTGACTTTCAAATTCTTTATCGTAATATGTTAACAACTAATATAGTTATTATAGAAAAATAATTAAGCGAATGATGGTCTATTATGAATTATGAGGAAATATGTTTTTGACCCACGGTATTCATCTGCGTTACCGGATCTCTAAAATTTCGTCTGCTATTATTATTAGCCCTTTTTATTGGTTAGTTTGATAGTCGTGGCTTACCAGTCGTCTTCAGTTGAACTAAAACTAGGACTTGATTTAGTCGTAGTTAAAACTTCGACTACGTTGTTTGCGAATACAAATTGAAGTTGAGTTGCAACTAGCGCTAAATAAAGTTCTAGTTTGAAGTTAGACTAAAGTTTGTTTTAAGAATACGGGCGTATTACGCAATCATTTATTAATTAATCAGCCCCATGAGGGCAGTATAATAGAGGCTGTAGATCTAAAAAAGATCTAACAATCAGCCAAGTGTTTCTGGAGCTACTCATCGGAGCTAAAAACAGCTCAACAGTTGATTCTAAGGAGTTTTGCACAGTTTGTAAATCATTGAAAACTTTACTGTTATCATTTGATCCATAACAGTTATAAGTCCTTGATTTAAGAAAATCAATGTATTGATAGAAGTTTTAAGTTTTACTAAGAAAAAATATATTGTTTATAATTTTATTTATTTTTCATTTGAACCATATTTATAATAGGCGACTCTTGCAGCAGTGCTGATATACAGAGGCCCACTGAAAATACTATATATGAAATGAAAAAGCACTTTGTGTATTTTATATATTCTCCAGTATTCTCTTTACCTGGTTTTGATTCAAATTCACTTCCACTGCCTTCAAATCACCTATACCATCAGGAACACTTGCAATCAAATTCTGAGACAAGTCAAGAAAGTCTAAATTTTTCAATTGGCATACTTGCAATGGGAATGCTTTGAGTTTATTTGCAGACAGCAGTAATTTCCGTAGGGAAGTTAGGCGGGATACAGATGAAGGAAATGTTGAAATATTATTATGTGTGAGTGATAAATTTTCCAGTTTCTTAAGCTCCTGAACTTCATCCGGTATATTACCTGCAAAAGACAGGAAAATGAGAAATTTTATTTTGAGGTTAACAATAATTTACTGTATAATGATTGAGATGTGATCAATGAGGAACAATTTACTGTTCTGAATAAATCCTGTTTCTCCAAAATTACTTCTAAAATTGATTCTTGAAACAATGGTCTCGTTCTGTTTACTCCTGTTCTCTGAATCCATAAAGATCAAATTCACCGGATGGATTACACAATACTACTGGTGTATTAAGAAAACCTATAGGCTATTATTATTGTTTTTAGAAAGGTTTGGCTAGCATACTATAGTACTGTATGGATATAGAGTACAGTACTGTTGAATACAGTCATTCATTCAATCAATTATAATTACTTATGTTGTTTAAACCACAAGAACTAATATTTTCAATAAACCTAGTAACAAAACCACTCTTTATGCAAATTATTTGGAACAAAGATTATATTACCTACATGACATACAAATGGGCAAAAAGGTAATGACATTACATGGAAACAATGCATATGAACAGCATTGACCTAAAAACAGGCGGCCTACTTTATATCAAAAGAAAAACAGGTTACAGGATTAGAAAGTGGCAGAACAGGTTTACGCTAATTTGAAACGAAGGTATAGAAAGAAGATGAAAAATAAGAAAAGGCGAAAGAAAACCACACTGGGGTATTCTAGTCTGTACGCTAAAGTTCAATATCTGAATACAGTAAATACAGGAATGTGACACTGGAATTTCTCACAGCTCCTTCCTTTCCAATACTGCACAACATATCATGTTCCTTCTTATAGATTCCCAGTCACAACCACATCCCCCACCCCCCACCGCAATTCAATACATCACCACAAAAAAGTATTTTTATTTGTAGTGCAAACACATAAGATTGAGATTATATAAAGTTGTATTGATTGTCAAGGATACAGTAGGCCTACATTCTACAGTAAGAAATTACAAAAAATGTTAAAAAAAGTTAAGAAAACTAGTTCCTATTCACAAACAAAACATGTTAAGTTAATAGGCCACTAAAATCAACAAAATCATTGTGAATTGGCATGCGAATCCTGTACAAATGAATAAGCCGGATGACAGAGGGCATGAACAAGTTCCTGTACCTATTTGTACTAATAAATGGGTTTCTTTACCTAACAGCTATATTTACAAAAACAGAGTTAGGGAGAGAATGAGTAGTATCCTGAATAATCAGTGTAAATTCCTTATTCATGGCATCATTATGAATTGCATGCAGAGACCCCACTAACAGGATGAATCAATGTCACGCTATATAAACTATTACTCGGTTCAGGATGGATGCAATCAATTAATCCAACATTTATTTACTGCCTTCAGTCGATAGATACTATGCTCATTACTTAATATGAGGTGGATACAGGTTGGAATTCAGGACAAAGAGAGCAGAGTTACAGTTTTGGAATCTTACTTCGACTAGAAATCTTAAATTCTGGGACTCAAACAAGAACAAAGTGCTCTCCCTGCTCATTAGGATCAGAGACAGCAAAGGGATCTTGATGATGAAAGACATATTTACTGGGAGACCAACATTCAAATCAGGCATTATTATGATATGGACCTTGGCCTACATAGAGTAATAAATATATTAAGTTTATGTCCATAGGCACAACTGCAATCTTGGATGCGATAAACAACATGAAGCATTTAAATTACAGCAAGTGTGCCATGTGTTCTTTTCTCAAATGAAAATACAAACATAAAATGATTCACTTCTTACTTTATCACATTCTGAGTGAATACAGTTTTATTGTCAGCTTCGTGACTATGATTTAACACATTGGAACCCATTATTTACTGTATTATTTACTGAAACATGCTCTTAAATATATCATCCAAGTTATGAGTCACTGACAAAACAACTGCTGGGAAAGGTGGCAGTGTGTGCAGGGGTGGCTCTAGGATATAAGAAAAACTGCGCAACTTTCTGGGGCATATGCAGGTTTTGACAGTAGGGGGTGTGTGAGAATCCACACCACCTCAGCCCACATGGTTGGGGCTGAGGTGAGAAAAGTTTGAGATATGAACATTAAGGTCACCTGGAAATTGTACTTTTAAAACCTTACTGGTACTATATTCTGAATAATAAAAATAATATATCAACAATGCCATACAACAATTATTTTTCCTCATAAACTGTCTGCATCCGTCCCAGACTTAGGGCCATTCTGCGAAATTTAAGAAAGTATAATATATCCAAAGAATCAAAAAAACATTTTTAGTACAAGGCACGGCCAACAGAAGAGAGTGCTTGACTTATTTAACAGACATTTAAGCCCCCTCCCTCTCTTGCTGCACACTTTTATAAAAAAAAAAATGGTTTTTAAAACCCGTCCTTAAGTGAGACACAATATCAGCTACTGTACTCCAGCTATGGTGAAATCTAAAAATAAAACCTCACAAAAAAATGAATAAAAATACAGAAATTGTCAAAATGTATTAAGAAAGTCAATGTTAATGACAGCAAGCAACTGTAATGTATTACAAGCCAAGAGAATATTAGGAACAGTTATATTCTTAATACTATAGTACACTACATTCCTATGGTGCAATACTGTAAATGATTACACTACCCTAGTTACCTAGATGAATTGCTTTCACAAAGACAAAATAAATAAACACTAACCTGTTGACATTAACGATTTGGTTTATTTTTTTTTCGAGGATATTTCAACATAAATGCCAAACCTTTCTGATTTATTACTGAAACTGAGATCACTAAAGTAGTAATATATCAATCACATGCACCTAATTTGACATAGTTATTACCTCCTTGTCTTTTGAAGAGTATTACCCCAATAGAAATTTAAAGATACCATATGATTTTATAAAAGTAATAAATACCGACCAAAATGCAAAAAAATTGAAATGGTTATCACATGAAGAACTTCACTGTGTGGATAAAATGCTTGAGTTTTAAAAAACATGTTAGTCTATGAAGTATTCGAGCTTGGTTCCGTTGGAGCGCAACCTCTTCCACAAGCTCGGTTGGAAGACGTCGGCGTCGGCCGGGAACGCCGAGTTTCGTTCGCCGACCTCCGTGAGAAGCCGCAGCGGACGGATCACCGACGAACACAAGCTCTTCGCGTAACTGCAAAATACGAACCAGTTCCTCAACGGGTTGCGCGGATCTTCGACAACCTCGTTGACGAAACTTCGAACGTCCGCGTCCGCAAGCTCGAAGTCGAGAACC